GGTTCTTTTAACAAAAATAAAAAGATAACTTAATTTACCTTGATTGTAATTAAAAAATTTCATTGATGTATTAAATAGGTTCATTAATAAATAATAATAATAATAATAATAATAATGCAAGGGATAAAAAAAACTATACTATTTTTCGCTTCTTTAATTTTTTTCTTTAATTTTTTCTTTCTATTTTGTGTTGTATTTTTATTTTTAACATTTTTTATTATCTAATCAGAGAGACAATGGATATTGTAATTATTATAAATAAACAACATTTTTTTAGGGGATCGATGCCAGTTTGAATATTTCATTCTTAATGTCAATTAATTATTGATTAATTAATTATCCTCTCGTAAAAATTCAATTTGTCCATTTCTTTTATCTTTAATTCCAAAAATAAGTTATCAATATGCCAAAAGTTAAAATTACACGTCGTGAAGAAAAAGGATTGATTGATTTTAACATGGTCAGCAAAAATCGATCCGATTACGTATTACTATTATTCTGTTCGAGGATTCTTTATCGTGTTCAATTAATCTGTTTCACAAATGACCAATTAACTTTCGACGACATCAATTTTATTGTTAAACAACAAATTGATATTTTCCCCGATTTGATTCATTTGATTTACAAAATCAACAACGATAAAAACAACAATAATTCCGTTTATAACTCTGACGCTTACGTTGATTATATTATCGGCACATCATATGACAACTTGCTTAGAAGCATTTTACGAGCAAAAACTCCCAAATCTTCCAACGATTATAATTATTATAACGGTCATAATGTTTACGATTCCAATAACAATTATAATTATAATAACGTCATCAACAAAATTAACACAAACACAAACATAAACATAAATAATAATAATATGAATCCGTTAGACATGGTTCATAATTTGTTGATCGAAGAATACTCGAATATTCAAAACTGTAACAAACAAAGCGATATTGTCATCAAAAAAATCTATCGTAATTTAATCAATTTGACTCAAAATTTTAAAAAATTCATGACTTCAACTACGATTTCGACTACATCCTCAGCTCCAAATTTAAACTCATCGTCGGCTTCTTCGCTTAAAAAAACGAGTTTTAAACCTGTTTATTTTTTAGTGAACGAAAACATTTCATTGGAAACCATATCTACAACATCATCAACAACAACTCCTTCTTCCCCCTCTTTCACATCCACATCTACATCATCACACCCAATAAGTTCCGCACTTTCCACAACCACAACGGCAAACAACAACATTAAAATCTCTCACATTTATCCACCTAGATCATTTTTGTGGTTTCCAATTTTGACTATTCAAGAAAATATCACACAAAAGTCTACATCAGCTTTTAACCTTAGAAAACGAAATGAGTTTAAAGTCAACAATGATAAATTATCCTTTCGTCCTCAGCTGTTGAGAATGAAATTTGTACAAAACTCAGTTCAATCAAACTTGATTCTTAACTCCACTGTTAAAAAAAATAACAAATCAACAACAATGTCAACTTCTACTGCAACAACCGCCGACACCACAACTACTAAATCAAATGTAACAAATGAGCTTTTAATCACTTCTCCTGCTACTCCCACACACCAAATTTCTACTTCAACCCTTCATTATCCTCGCCCTCATCGTAATATTAATGCGATTAATAATTATAATCACACCAACTATAATAAGAAGTCTCAGTTATTTGTTGATACGGATATATCGAGAAATAATAATTATTTAAATCATTTAAGTAGCCCATCACCAATACACATGAATACTAATGATGACGATAGAATAAATGATGATAGTGACTAAATATGGGAACCGCAACCGCAATTCAATTTTTATATGTCC